TTGGAATTTAGATGCACTCTTATTGATTGTGCTTGGCCGTACATGTTCATATCCTTGAAGATGTATCATGGGGGTGTTGCAACCTAGAAGACAAGCAACAAATGTTAGAGAGATGTGGAGAGATTGGAACTCTGATACACTGTTTGTGGGATTTTAAAATGGTACACAACAATCACTCTGGAAGGCAGTTTGTTGTACCCTTAAAAAGCTGAGCATAGAGATTTCATATGACCCAACCATACCACTGCTAGGAATATATACCCAAGGAAAACAGAACTGAGATACAAATGGAGATTTTGTACACCGATGTAGCATCATTCACAATAGCAAGAACATAGGAACAGCCCAGATGTCCATCAACAGACAACTGGATTGAGAAACTGTGGTACATTCACACCGTGGAATACTATCCAGTACTCAGGAACAGCAATTTTGAAAAATACTAGAGTCTTGAGAGCATTATGCTGAGTGAACTAATGCAGGCACATAAGAACAAATACTGGATAAGACCAGTTGTAAAAACAGAGGGATAACCAGTGAAATGTGTATGGATATACAAAGAGAGAAGGGAACAGTAGAGAGATGCTGAGGGTGGAGGGGTGGAAATCACAGAGTCAAAGAGTTTGGTGAGTGGAGGGAAGAAGCAGAAAAAAGAAAAAATATGTGAATTGAAGCATAATAAAAAGAAAATGCAAAAGTTTTTTAAAATAAAAAAATAAAAATATTTTAAAACCCCCAAAATTTCTTTCATCAGTTTAACAAATGTTATAAGATCAAGTGGTACTAAATGTTGGCTGCTGCAACTGTTGTTCAGTGTGGTTGAGTACAACTCATAGCTACGCTATGAACAACAGATCGGAACGCTGTCCTATCTTTTTTTTTTTTTTTCTTGTTGTAGTTTTTGTATTGTTATATTGTTAGGGCAACTTGCAAGTACCTTAAAGAAACCCCAAGGTCACTACTAGCTTTTGAGTTGATTATAACTCATGGTGACTCTCCATCAGATATCTGTAAATCACTGCCCTTTCTCCCTCTGAGTGGTTGATGGAGCCAAGCCATTGGCCTTTCAGTTAAAGTAACACGATACCCACTTTGCTGCCAGAACGCTGTCCTATCTTGTACCATCCTCACACGTTAGAGCCCATTGTGGCAGTCACTGAGGCAGTCCACCTGGTTGTGGGTCATCTTCTCCTTCACTGTTGCTCTGCCTTCCCAAGCATGATGAACTTCTCCAGTGAACCTTGTGACATGCCCAAAATACGTGAGATGACGCTTCATCATCTTTGCCTCCAAGGAGCACTCTGACTACACGATCTTCAAGACCTAGCTGTTTGTCCTTTTGGCAATCCATGGAATATTCAGTACTCCACACCACAGTTCAAAGGCATCAGTAATTCCTCTGTTGTCCTTAGTCATTGTCCAGTTCACAGTTACATAGCAAGTGACTGAAAAGATCATGGTCTGAATCAGGTGTACCTTAGTCTTCAAACCAGTGCCATTGCTCCTCTAATCTAGAGATGTTCCTGATTACAGACTTTCCCAGTACAGCACATCTTTTGATCTCCTCACTGCTGGTACTAAGTGTATTGATTATGGATTCAAGTAAGATGAAGTCGTTACAGTCTCAGTCTTTTCTCTATCTATCATGATGCTGCCTAGCTGTCCAGTGGCTAGAATTTTTGTTTTCTTCAAGTTGAGACGTAATCCGTATTGAAGGTTGGCAAGTTCTGGTGGCCTAGTGACAAGAAGGTGCACTGCAATCCCAGAGGTGAGTGGTTCAGATTCACCAGATGCTTTGCTGGAGAAGGAGGAACGATCTCCTCCTGTACCAGTCAAATCTGATTTGACAGGACACACACACAAATAATAATAATAATGAAAAAAAAAATTTAAAAATCCATATTGAAGGCTGCAGTCTTTGATCTTCTGCAGCAATTGCTTCAAGTCCTCCTCACTTTCAGCAAGGAAGATTGGGTCTAAGGTTATTGAGGAGTCTTCCTTTTATCTTCATGCCACAGTTTTCTTCAGATCCAGCTTCTCAAATAATCACAATATAGATTAAATAGCTGTGGAGAAAGGATACAACCCTAACCCACACCTTTCCTAATTTTAAACCTTGCAGTGTTCCTTTGCTCTGTTCACATGACAGCATTTTGGTCTAACTGTAGGCTTCATACCAGCCCAATTAAATGTTCTGAGATTCCCATTCTTCTCAATGTCAGTCATAATTTGTTATGTTCCGCACAGTCAAATGCCTTTATATAGTCGTTAAAGCACAAATAGACGTTCTTCTGGTGTTCTTTACTTTCAGCCAGGATGCATTAGACATTAGCAATGATATCACTGGAGCCACACCCTCTTCTGAATCCTGTTTAAACATCTTGTACTATTCATGCTGGGTTTTGGGTGGTTTTTTTTTTAATTAATTTCAATGAACATCTACAGAGATTTTGGACTTCCATTCATTCATTGTTGCACTTTTCTCCCCGCCCACCCCACTCCACCCCCAGTTTGCGCCTCTCCTTGAAAAGCAAAAGAAAAACTCCTTCACTGGTACACAATCCCCCTGTTTTTAATGATCTTTAGCAGCCAGGATATGGGAAAATCTTTTTCTCATATACTACCAACTTCATTGCATATACTTTGAGCATGTTGGCAGGAGGGAATATTGTTGTTACGGGCCATCGAGTCGCCTGTGACCCATAACAACCCTACATACTGCAGCTCTGAAGCCGGCCCTGTCCTGAGCCAGTCTTAATGATTCTGACACACCTACCCGCATTGCCCCAGTTACTGTGTCAATCCATCTCATCCGGGCCTTCCTCTCCTGCGCTGTCCGTCCACCCTTCTGAGTATGATGTCCTTCTCCAAGGACTCCTGGCCACGTGCCCAAAGTATGTGAGATGGAATTTCAAAATCCTAACTTCCATTGAGTAACTTGGTTTCATCCTCTTCAAGACAGACCTATTTGTTTTCTTGGCAGTCCATGGTATGTATGTTCAAGACTCTTCTTCAGTACTACTACTTGAAGGCATCAATTCTTCTGTCATCCTTAGTCATTGTCCAGCTCTCTGATGCTAGGCAAGTAACTGTAAAGACCATTAGGTACCTTAGTCACTAGACTGACATCATTGCTTCTCAGAACTCTGGAGAAATCCTTGACAGCAGATTATCCCAATGCAATCTGTCTTTTGATTTCCTTCCCAACTGCTGGTGTCAAGAGTGTTGATTGTGGAGCTGAACAAGCAGTAATTGTTAACAATCCCAATCTCTTCTCCATCTTTCATGGTGCTACCAATCAGCCCAGTGGTGAGAATCTTTGTTTTCTTGATGTTGAGCTTCAATCCAT